TTCACTGAGGTTACATATTTAGTAATGGGCTGAGCTGAGATTTGAAGTCAAATTTTACTCTAAAGCCCATGCTCTTGTCACTGCAATAATTCAAAGGTACAGAATCAGAATTCCCCAAACTTTTCTCCCCATTAACTGAAGCCTCTGTTGACCTTCATGTGCCCTGCTTTAGAGCCCAAGGCTGGCAAACAGGACAGCTTTGTTCTGTCTGTAGCCCATCTGCAGACTTGCCTTGTGATTTAGGGCAAGCTTCTTAATTTGATGGTGTCTCAGCATTCCCCCATGTTAAAGCAGGACTTGTAATTAGTGATGGAGACAATTCTTTGAAATCTTCAGATGAAAGGACCTGCAGCCTCGAGTGTAAATATTTTCTTTCCCATGGTGTTCTTTTTGTTTCGTATAGCTTCTGGGACCCTTCATAAGGAAAAAACAAAAAAAGAAGAAAAAAAAAGAAAAAGGAAGGAAATAGGACAAGTGTAAAACTGTATTTGTTTGCTTGCTACAAGCCAGTGGAACTTTCGGGACATAAATGTAATAATCTCCCTTACTCTACAGAACTCAATAAACATTACTAATAAATGAATAAATTTTATTCAAAAAAACTTTAAGGTAGGCCTTTTTTTTTTTTTTCCAATATTCAGGTTCCTTTAATGGTCCCACTGAAGATCTTTAAAAATGATTTCTATTTTATTTCTGGGTTCTTAAATCCTAAATATTCTCCAGTAGGAGCTAACGCTTATGTAGTGTCTGCTGTGTGCCAGGTATCAGGCTAACTGCTTTCACGTGAAGCCTCGTTTAATCATCATAATAGCACTATCGGGTAGGTGCTATTATTACCTTCAATTTAAAGGAGAGGAAACCATGGCTTGGTATAGTTCTTTGACTTGTCCAAGGCCACAAAATTAGGAAGTTTGCCTAAGCTGGGTCTTCCCAGTTCTAAATTCAGGCTCTTCCCAGGACACCCCCTTGCCTGAAAAATTAGCAATGACGACAATTTTGAACTGTGCTATCACACCCTGGGTGTGTGTGGCATTTAAAAATCTCTTACTCCTTGTTCTTTCCAGTCCCTGGCACAGGGACAGTTATTTGTGTAGCACAATTGTTGTTATTGTGCAGCCTAACATATTTTTTCTGCCCTGGGCAAACATGAACAATAATGAGCTATATTTATGAAGCCAGCAGCTTGGAAGCATGACCTCCAGATTACCATTACAATTGTAGTATAATTTTTTTTCTTTTTTTGTAGCTTAGGACTATTTATATAGAAGGGCTATCTCAAAGTCTCATGCCAATAAACTGGTTCTTTGTATAAGCAGAGGGCTCCTCACAGGTTTTTTTCCCCCATAGTTTCGATCAATCAGGCTGCATTTCTAAAAGCTGATGTCACAGACATGCAGTGTTCATGAAGAGCTGATATGACAGTCACCTCTCAAAGTTGGAAAATAAATAAAAGTAGCTGTGGTTTCTCTTAAGGATGGATTGGGGAGGGGCTGTGGAGTTAGAGTAGGATAGAAAGATGGAAAGATAGGCTGATGACAAAGCTGCTCATGATCTAAGTTCTCTTCTTCAAGATCATCTTGGGTTTAGGATTACTATAAATCCATAGCCTAATCTTCAGGTTTCCATGGTCAAAAGCTCCATATTATGAAGTCTTCTTGGGAGTGATCAATGTCTGCAGGACACCAGCAACATGCCCTAGTAAAAAGCACATTTGAGTCAGAACACCTATGTATAATTCCTAGCCTTGTCACTATGAATATGGACAAATTCCTCTTCTGTAAAATAAAATTAATAATAACCCCTATAGTGAGGATTAAATGAAATAATGTATGTGAGAGCAGCAATTGTTGGCTATCAGTATGCAGAAGTAAGTCATTGCACACAACTTTACCTAGGGAAACAATGACAGGGATATATGTGTCAGCTGTTCAAAGCACTCCTTTCTAATAGTTAATGTATCTGCAAAACTGACTTAGTAATTGGAGGGTTGTTTGACAGGTAGAGAGTTAAATGGTGATGTTGAAGAATGGTATCCTTATAGGGACTTCCCTGGTGGTCCAGTGGTTAAGACTTCACCACAGAGGGTGCGGGTTCAATCCCTGGTAAAGGAGCTAAGATTCCACATGCCTCATGGCCAAAAACCAAAACATAAAAAAAACAGAAGCAATACTGTAACAAATTCAATAAAGACTTTAAAAATGGTCCACATCAAAAAAAAATGGTATCCTTATATTAATACTGCCACTTACTGAACACCCATTTCAGGCCAGGCTCTTTGATAAGACATTTATGCATGATTTCTACTCCTTACACCACCCCTACAAGGTAGGTATTATTATCTCCAATGTACACATGAAGAATATGAAGCTTACAGACCCAGAGACATTAAGTTGCCCTACAAAAAACAGATAAGTCCTTTTTGTCTGCTCCATGAAGCTCATTCTTTTTACAATGAATTAGATCATAACATATCTTCCATTAGCTACATTTTACCCTCCTAAAATAGATCTGGGATATGACCCAGTGCTTTGATGAGATCTGGGACACGAATTTGCAAACTCTCATTGGTGTGTCATCTAAAAAAACATCCAGTCCTGGAAGTTCTAGGCCTTTTCCAGAGTTTAGACCATCACTCCCATCCCCCACTATCTCAAGTTTTTAATTTAAACCAGAACCAATGAGCAAAGAAGGTAGCCAATACAAATTATTGGTGGTCTGGATGGGAGCCTGGGGCAATTCCCATACAAGTAGTCTTCCCTTGCTTAGGGGTCTAATTATCGTTATTATTATTTTAACCAAGGCCCAAACCTGCTCTAATATGGTTTGGAGGAGTCTCCTTGAATAGCAAGCGAATTTGTACTCCCAGTAGCAATTTATTCCATGACTTTAAGATTTCTTAACTAAATCCATGTATCTATATCTTTAGGTATTTCCATATATGTTATCTCATTCATCCTTACAATAACCCTAAGGTTGTACAAGTATTAAATAGTTGAGACAGGATTGGAACCTGGATGTTTCTGATGTCCAAGCCCTGTTTATTCCACTATGGTATACTGCTTTGGTTATTGGCTGTATAACCTTGGGAAAATCACTTAATGTCTATGACCTTCAGTTACCTCATCAGTAAAGTGGGTATGATGATTACTACCCTTCATAGTTGTTAAGTTCAAAAGTGATAATATAAATTAGAAAATTAGAAACATCAGTGGTGGTTATAGCTGATAAATGTACCAGGTGGAAAAGGAGTAATTTAAAATATTATTTTCCCTTCTCCCTTAAGTTAAAAAGAATAACAGCAAAAAGAGGCCAAAGGAGACTCTCTTGAGTAAGTTGTTGCTCACCAGACCTGCATGGCTGGCTCTTTGTTGGCTGGACCTTGTAAAAACGGGGTCTGAGTACAGTCAGGAATTTCTGAGGGCATTTCTGGGATGGTTTGCCTGTGGTGGTAAAGGTCTAAAACCTTACATGGGGCTAACTCCATCCTTGGCCTTGTTCAGTTGGCCCTCCTGTATGTCAAACGGGGACTACTACAAGAATGCTAACAGGGGTGTGGGCCTGATAGAGTTATGGTTTGTTGCTGTGGGAAGCCATCATGACTGAGAAAGGAAGACCCATTCCAGGCAAAGACATTTATTGAGGCCTACTCTGTGCTAGGCCAGATTGTGAGAGGGGTGTAGTTGTGAGTCAGCCCTCTATTCTGATGGATTTTACAATCTAGTGGGGGTATAGAAAAGCCCTCAACTAACTCTTAAAAACAAGGCAGAGTGTAAGGATCATATCAGAGCAACTAAGAGGTGGGGTGGGATTTCCTAGAAGGTTTCTTGAAGTAGGTGGCATATAAGCCAAGTCTTTAAGGATGAGGATTTCAAGTAACTGATCGGTTATTTCAACTGAAGAAGGCAGCATGAGAAAGTGTAGGCTGTGTTATGTTTAACTTGGCAGGAACTAAGGCCTTGTACTGAGTACATAACACATTCTAGTGTCTGAGGATATAGAAATATATAAGAAACAGTCCCTGCCATTGAGGAGCTCTCAGTCTAGTGGGTAGACAGATGTAAAGTTATTAGAGTGATGATGACTTCATAAGGTAAAGAAATGTTAAAAAGAAGAGTGTGTAACTGCGACTTGGGAGGTCAGGAGATGTTTTGTAAAGGTGATATTTGAGTTGTGTCTTGAGAAAGCAGGAGGGGTTTGCCAGGTGGACTAAGGGAGGAGTTGGAGTGCTGCAGGCCCCTGAGCTCTTTTATTGAACAGTCTGAGAATGGTAGGCAGCAAGTGGGCTAGGAGAGTATTCTTTCCCCTTCCCACCTAGATTTTCATTTAAGAGTCTTCTCTTTCGATATCACCCCCTAACAGCGGATGGTTAAAATGAAAAGTATTGGAGTCTGACCTAGATGCTAATTCACCATCTATCTAATCAGCTTTATGACCTTACGTATGACACATATTTGTGTTTCAGTTTCCTCATTTGAACAACTTATTTATGTCTCAGTTCCTTCACTTATACAATTTAAAAATAAAGCGTCCAGCACAGATTCTGGCATATGTAAAGTACCGCTATTATTTCCTATCGTTAACTCATTTAGTCCTCACAAGCAACTTGGACTTTGGGTATAATTTCCCCCATTCTTCCGAAGCAGAAGCTTAGAGTGGGTAGGTGACTTGCTTAAAGTTCCCAGGACAATCTGGAGTTGTCTCTGCCTCCACAGCTCGTGCTTAATTTCATCTCCGCGCCGGGTTTTCTCAGGCGGCCCCAGCAGCAGGATCCAGTCCGGCGGCAAAAACTCCGGCGCCAGGATTTGGGCGCCGCCGCGGCCTGCGCCCAGTGGGCGGGGCCAGGCGGGGCCGGGCGGGGCGGGGGGG